CATGGCCTTCGATCGCTACATGGCCATCTGCCACCCTCTGCACTACCCCACCATCATGAACGGTTCTGTTTGTGTGAAGCTGGTGGTGGCCTGCTGGGCGGTGGGGTTCCTTTCCATCGTCTCCCCAGCTCTGCAGAAAATGAGGCTCCGGTTCTGTGGCCCTAAAGTCATCGACCACTACTTCTGTGACTCTGCCCCGCTCCTCAAGCTCTCCTGCTCCGACACCCACCACATCGAGCGCTTGGACTTCTTCCTGTCCTTGCTCTTTGTGTTGGCCACCATGTTGCTCATCCTCGTGTCCTACGTCCTTATCGTGGCTGCGGTGCTGTGCATCCCCTCCTCCTCTGGACGCCACAAGGCCTTCTCCACCTGCGCCTCCCACCTCACCGTGGTGATTCTGGGCTACGGCAGCGCCATCTTCATCTATGTGAGGCCGGGCAAGGGCCACTCCACATACCTCAACAAGGTGGTGGCCCTGATGACTGCAGTGGTGACCCCTTTCCTCAACCCCTTCATCTTCACCTTCCGGAATGAGAAGGTCAAAGAGGTCATTGAGGATATGACCAAAAGGATCCTCCTCGGAGACCTAGCAGCCCGCAGGTGAGAGGGCTGGAGAGCAGCTGTCCAGCCATGAGGAGCAAAGCCCCTTGCTGCAGGTGGACACGTGGGTGTCCACGCTGCAGCTCCCCATTCTCCCCTGGTCCCTCATCTTCGTGCAAGTCTGCCTTTGCCCTACAGGGAGCTCGTGGACACACGTTGTTATCAATAGACCCCTCAGAGGCAAGTGTCTATAGCCTGAGTTAGTCAAGAGATGGATAATTTTGAGGGAGCCATGGTGTGAATATGGTGGGATGATACCAAACAAATGAGATAACCCAAATAAAGCTCTTAGTGCAGGGCCTGGTACACAGTGAGAGCTCAGTAAATTCAGCTATTATTATTAAAATGTCCTATTAAAATCTTTCCTTCTTAGTCTGGCTCTATGGCTTTACTTACATTTTTTACGTTTCTTTGTGTACTACTTTTATTCTGGGTGTGTCCCTTAGAAACTAGCTTCAGGGTCTAGGATAGGGTTTTGAATACAGAAAAAGCCATGTGGCTCCAGTGGCCCCTCTCTGGGACTGCTCCCGGACAGAAGCACCCTCAGACCCAGGCTGCCCCTTCAGCCCTCTGGCCCCAAAGCCTCTTATCCTTCAGTGGGAATGACTCTCTGGGAACCGCTCTCCCAGCCCTCCTGTAGGAGTCATGGGAGCCTGATCGTTTTCATGCACTCAAGAGGAGGAGAAAGCTGGGCTGTCTCCCCACTCTCAGACTTGCTGCCTTTCCCAGGGAAGAACTTGGATCCAAGTTCCAGAGGGACTGCCAGTGGCCTAGGCCTTCTGAGGTTGGGTTTCCAGAGAGCAGCCCCACCAGGTTCCCGGGGCCCCTGGAGGGTGAAGCAAAAATGGTAGAAGCCAGATAAGGAAATGGAGTGGCATTGGTGTTGCAGGTGACAGGGCGGGAGGCAAAGGCATTCCTTGGGAATCTGTGGGTGGTGCGGGAAGTTATGGGAAGATGGTGGGGCTAGGAATAGCTCTGGTATCTGATTTCTTACAGAAGATTGAGTCTGAACTGGGCTGGGATTAGCAAAGTAGGGCAAAGAATGGGTGCAAACTTCCTCTCTCTTCTGAAGCTTGCTCCGTCCACAGATTACCCAGAGGACAGGCCTTGGCTGTAACCAGCAGTGTGGAGAGTCGCAGTGTGGGGCCTCCACACAGAGCCAGGGCTGTGAAAAACCGCCGTGGCTGTAGGGGAGTGTCATGGGGTATGCAGGCTGGAGACACTGATCTCTCATTTTTGCTGCCTTTAGTTTCATCTTTCAGAGAGGCTTTTTTTTTTTTAAACTACCGCAGGACATTTTCACATGTGTGGGTCTCATGCAGAAAGTAGGCAGGTACTTCTGACTGTGCTGTAAAGGCCGGCAGGGAAAACAGCTTTTCAACCTGAGAACTTTGCCTCCTCTAGCTCTCAAGGGACCAATTACTTGCCCTCCTTGCAAACTTTGTGAAAAATTGGAGAGCTAGGTGGGAAGTAATTATCTCCTTCTGAGATGCACATACTTTCCTTTGGCTTCTCCTCCTAAAATAATCAGCACATGGATCACTCAGAGTTTCCTCCTGGGAGCCTCCTTCCTGCTACTCCTCTCTGCACAGGTCTCTCTTAAAAAATTAAAAACAGTCAACAGCCTGGGGCAGTCTGTTGCCTGTTTTTCAAAGCGTTTCCTCAGAAGTGGGCTCTCTGACCGGTCAGTTTGGGGGAAGGTGTGACTTACCCTGGGCCTCCGTGGCGATCACCTGCCGCATCCACACATCCAGCGTCACACGGCATCACAGTCTCAGCAGCCTGTGGTCCTTGGCTGTGTGAAGTGCGACCCCTGCCACAGCACGGGCGTCTCCTGGGAGCTCGTTGGAATGCAGACTCTCAGGCCCTTCCCGCGAGCCACCAAATCAGCGTCTGCATTTTTCCAAGATCCCCGGAGATTCCTGTGCACATTGATTCTTGAGCAGCACTGGTCTAGACAATCTGTTGGAGGAATTTTCAATCAGCAAATGGTATAAGAAAGTCCTTGTCCCAATCTCAATGATGCGAAAGGTGCTGGAAGAGGTAATTTGGGGACACATTTGCTGTTGTTGAAGCCAACCTTCCTTAGTGACTTTTATCTCAGGTTTTGTTTCTGGAGATAGTAACCAGGATAAAACTCCCCAAGATTTTCGTCCTAGTCTGACTTTAAACTTCTTGGGTGACTTTAGCCAAATGCCCTGGCCTCTGACTTGCTTCTGGAATCTTCCGTGGACATGACCAAGGGCTGTCTAGATGTCTTGGTTCCATATATTTAACTTGACATGGCAGGGGTCTTTGATGTGCACAGTGTCAAATGAGGCCCCCGGAGAGACATCGACCAGAAAATAACTTTAAAAGAGTTTTCCAACTTGCTGGAAGGAATCTTAGGATTACAGTTCTGAGTCAAAATAACTGTTAAAACGTCTCCCCAGGTTTATGTCATGATGTAACTAAACCACAACCTCATGGAATTGCAAGGGAGATTGTAGGTCACGCAAGTCCTCCTGCCTCCCTCTGGGCGCAAGCACCCCCACAGCCACACGCTGATCAGACTGGCTTAGAGACTCTGCCTGAACCGGGTCTGGGGGTGGAGCACTCACAGCTGTGGGATGCAGCCCCTTTCTGTCCTACACAGTTCTAAATTTTAGGATGAAACCCTTTTGTCAAGCCTCGGCATGACTCCCTCTACCACTCAACCATTGTCCAAGTCCTGCCTTTTTGAGTTAGCCAGGCAGACTGGCAAAGAAGTGAAGACATCTGCACATTCCCCTCCAAAATATTCAGATTTACAAGTGGAATGTTGCCCTTGAACAATTTCTAGACCTTTTGTCATCCACATTGCTTCTTCTGGTCCCTGTTGTTATGTGGGTCTTGGAACTGGTGTTGGTCCTAGTTTAGAGAACCAGTTGAGATAGGGTGCAGTGGGAAATCTCTTCCTTTGCTTTGCTGACTGCTTTTCTACTATCATCAACTAAGGTGACATTCCATGTTTTAGGTGACAGTGCTAACTCATGTTCCAAATTCATACAAATCTCATGATTAAAGAGATTTATTGAATACCTACCACATTCTAGACATAGGAGATACAAAGATACATAAGGCTCAGAATTTAGCGTGGGAAGACAAAACTATGTGTTAGTTACTGTAGGCCAACTCTCTGGGAGTGCCCCTTTCTCTCTTGTAAAGTTGAAAGTCAAGTTGAAATCACTTTTTGTGCTTTTAGTTGAGCTTTGAGGTATGAAGAGCAGTTTCATAGGCTGAGAAGATGAAAAGTGAATTCCTGAGAGAGGCAACTGAACATGTAAAATAACATGGACATAAAATGGTATATTGTGTAGGCTACCAAAGCCCAAGAAGGTGAAATTAATGAGTGGACTTTCTGGAGACTGTCCTTGGGTATTGTCACTAATCAGACCCAAGTCCCTCAGGAGACTTTAAGTGTCCTCGGCAAGATTCTCCACTCACTGAAATAATAGGATGCATCTGCCTATAATGAACTTCCAAGTGGTTACAGTGGACATCGGTGTGGAAATCTTTGCATGCTAGAGCAATTATATTGTATTCACCAAAAGTACTATTTATCTTAAGTGCTGGAATTTTATTGCCTTGAGTTTTGCAAATAACGTGAGTGAGTTCAGGGGGCTTAGCTTTTCTGGAATGCTTGCTTCCCCCTCTGTCAGCAGCTGAGTTGGTCATGGGTAATGGTCCTTTAGGTCTGCTTTGGTCAGGTCCTCTGATGAGAGGGAGGCATGGAGCTGGGGCTGAGGGATGGGGGATTTATCTTCTGGTCTCCTCTCCTGTGTCTGGAGAGGAGGGGAATCTGTGGCAGCCCCTCTCCTTAGATCATGCTTATCTTGCTCCATAACAAGGACAAGGACCTCACATATAGCCCTGTGGACTCACACTCAGGGGTGAGGAACCCAGGAACTTCTGGGTGAGGTTTCCACCCAGTGAGGGAGGTGGCAGGAACACAGGTGTGAGTGGCGAGCTGCCCAGCTGCCAGTGGGGAAGGCAGGTCCCCTCACACTTGGAGGGGCCTGCGTCCATCAGAAAGAGGAATTTATAAGTTTCCTTATAAGGGAAATACCATGAGGTTTGAACTTGTCATGTGTCTAACTCAAGGGGAGGAGAAAGACCAAGATTCAGGGCTAAATAGGGAGAGGGATTTAAAGGAAAAAACCCTGGGGTATAATGCAAGTGATGTTTGGGAGAAGAACCAATTGTTAAATTGTCAGGAATTATATACAGCTGTTATTAAAAATTAAATAACAGGCACTTACAATCAAATAAAGTATGCTGAAAGCAAAGGTGATAAATATGCAAAACTCCTAATTACTTTGCTACATTTTACTTTTATCCATCTATTGAGGTTGTTCATGTCTCTTGTCTCAGGGTGGTGGTGGGCTGTGGTGGTTGGCTCTACTCAGGAAGTAAAGCAGTTACCAGCACATTCAAGCAGTGTATTGAACATCCTTTAAATATCAAAGTGAGAAACAAGAAGGCAATGTAATAATGTTATCAGAAAGATGTTAGAAAGTAAGGACAGCTGTGTAAAGCCTGAGGCTGAAAAGTGGCTCGCCAGCTTCATTTCTTTCGCTTCTTGGGTAGTGGGCGCCGGAACAGCAAGATGTGAGGTTCTGGTTCATGGATCATATAATGGACCCATCCCTGACTCTGCTGAACGCCAAGATTCCTCCATTCAGATTCAGACATCAAATGGGTTTTAGGGACCAGCTTGGCTATGTTCTTGGGCAACATGACATGCTGGTACTCGAACTCCTCGTCGTCGTATTTGTCCGAATAGTAAATTTGCTTGTGCGACATGATCGCTCTGCCTGTGGGCCTTCAGCCCTGCGCCGCTGGCCTCCAAACAAATACTGCTTGATGCTATGTTGCCGGGCAGCTAACTGCAAGTTCATGAAGCCAGGCTGGTAGTTTGAAATTGGACTTGCAGGGAATGTTGACCTCCAGGAAGTTGGCAAATGCTAGAAGTCAGCAGATGGAGAGACAGGGGTTAAACACTTACCAGCAGACCACTGGACCTAGGCTACCATCTTTTCTTGTACCTGTCAGGCATTGTGGCAAAAATCATGTTTACAGCAGAAAATGAAATGTTTAAAGAAAATATAATGCTTAAAATGTAATCAGAAAACATAATGTAAAAACCATATTTACAACAGCAAGCAATGCTTAAAGAACTAGATTGATATGGCCCACTCTAGGCAGCACTGCAATTTTCCAATTTTGACCTAGAGGCCTTTTCACCGGGCCAAACTCCTAAAATCCCATCCTCGTAGGGTTTTCAAGCTGCTACAAGCCACCACAGGACCCACGCCTGGCTTTCCTCTGAAAAATGATTTGATTCCTTTAACTTCCCTCGTTAAAATTTCCATACCCTTAGTTTCTTGCTCACTGATTCTCCCTACTGGAAGAAATAAACCCATTTTTTGGTTTCCCACTGGGATATACATGCGTGACAATGGATTCTTGTCTTAGCCAACTCTGTATTTCCACTGGTTGCTGACCAGACACCATCTCTGGAGCTGAGAAGCCAGACCAATGAAGGGTGGGTGGGAAGACACTTCAGGGAAGGGCAGGCATTTTAGAGTCATGAAATCCTGCCACTGACTCTCTGCCTACTCTTCAATTAGTTCTGGGTATTAAGAACACCCTTTCCCACCTAACACCCTGAAATTAGGTTCTAGTGTAAGCGGAGTGGGAAGGCTGTTGCCTTCTGTACAACTATGTCCAATGACCTTATGTAGAATAATAACCACATCCATTGTTCTTGTCTCTCAGGAAAAATGGTGTTACAGCAAAAGGACTGTGACTCCTCTACGCAATTAACATTGTATATGAACTGAATAAAAATATTTCTTCAAATTAAAAATATATTGCCTGCGTAGGTATTATTTGCTATCTTTCAAATGTTTGTGGATGCTATTGTGATAAATAAAACACAAATCTTAAAAGTGACACCGAATCTATAGTTGCTTTCTGCCAATATGTGTTTCTTTCAAGTGATGGATGCTAAACATACAAGTACTGCCGGGAAGGCGTCACTAGACTTGTGGCCTATGATCTTGATGGACACATACTAAATATGGGTCTAGAGGAGGCAAAACTGAGCAGCTTCAAATCCTGGAGATTCCAACTTTGAGTTATTCCAACTTCTGATCCAGATGGAAGAAGAAATTCCAAGGACAGGGAGGTGGAAGGGAAGTTTGAAGAACCAGATTCCACCGTCAGTTCTGCCATCTCTTTGACAGACACATTTATCCCCTTGACCATAGTTCCCTTATCCATCAAAGTGTGTCAGAAACACCACGTGCTGCAGCCCAAGAATCAGCATTCCTCTTCTGGACTCTCTCACAGCACTTTTTATTATAAGCAGGAAAACCCCTAATCAAAATGTATTGGAAAACATTTTTTTTTTTGAGACAAGTCTTGCTCTGCCTCACCAGCTAGAGTGCAGCGGCATCAGCCTCACTCACTGCAACCTCAAACTCCTGAGCTCAAGAGATCCTCCAGCCTCAGCCTCCCAGGGTGCTAGGATTACAGACGTAAGCCACCACACCCAGCTGAAAACATTTTTTTTTAAATGATAATAAAAAAAACCCCAAACCCAAATGTATTGGAATTAATTGCATTTTCCCTATCTCTCAGTATATGGGGGACCCCTAGAGGCCAGAACGCACATTTCTTTCATCTTTCACAGCCAGTTCTGAGCAGAGTGTTTTGCTCATGATGGGTGGTCACTGTTAGCAGGGTTTAACACCAAATGGAAAATATATGTGAAAGTGGTTTGTAAAGTGATGAAATACACAAAAGCAAGGTGTCATCAGCAGAATTGTTCTTAACTCATTCATCATCCCTTCATTTATTGTATAAATACGTTTTGTGGTGGTGAGCAGAGAATAATCACAGAAAAATAAATCGGTTCAACAGCAACAGCAAATACCAGAGTCATTGCTCTCATATGTAATCAAAAAACAAGCAAAATTTTGGATCAGAAACTGAAACTTGGAGCCTAAAGAGACCCTCTGACTTGGGGGAGTGGCATCTCAGCAAGAAAGAAACACACTTGCAGAAATCCAGTTCCTCGTTTAGGAGGGAGTCAATTTGGGGTGTCAGGAAGTATGTAAAGAGAACCAAGGGGCCACCAAGTGAGCCACGTCTCCACAGCGGGACCCTGTAGCCATGATCATGATTAACTACCTTGTTTACTTCCACATAGTAGATTTTTTAAAAGCTTGACATTTGTGATACATTCGTAGTTTTTATGATCTTCAAGTAAGTGTGGCTAGGAATATACTCTTTATTATAGTTTGCATATCACAAATTGGGAAATGGACCTTGGTAAATTAAAGTGTATTTAGAGAAACAATATGGCAGAATAATTTAAATTGGGGCTATTTTAGAAAATCCAGGATAGATGAAACCTAAGGGAATACCATGATTCTGAGGTCCAAGTAAGTGGAAGATTTTTAAAATTTCAGGCTATAGTTGGAGAAGGGAAGAGCAATGGAGCTGATGTTTTATCCCAAAGGCAAGATGGGATGTAGTAGGTTTCCAGGAATTTCACACACACACACACACACACACACACACACACACACACACACACCCCTAATACTGAACACATAATACACACAATAGCTGGACAAAGGGCCTTACTAGATTTTTACCATCCCAAGCTTCAGGCAAATGAATGTTTCTAATCATACATAAGGAAAGTTTATTTTCTCTTTCTAAAACTCTCTGTGAATATTTCTACTCTCAAACCCACATAATTCCTGAAAGATTTGCTCTCATTTCTTATGCCAATGGTGATTTATCTTGTTTTAAGTTCATTTTTCTCTGTTTTTACTTTTTCTCAGATGCAAGGGCCTCTGATGAATTGCATTCTCACAGTGTCTAGCTTATATTCAATGTGTCACTCAGGTGTCATCTTATGAGGAAGCTGTCCCTGATCTGATGTCCCTCAGCCCCGGTCTGGTCTTAGTGTTGCCGTCTGGTGCTCTCATCAAGCCTTCTGTGAACCCTTCCTTGCGCTTCCCCTCTGTGCCGTAAACAGCTCTTTGTCATTCTTTCCCCTCATCGGGCTAAGAGGGTAAGGACCAGCTATGCCTTCTTTACCTCTTTCCCCTGCACCTGCTGTAGTGCCTGACATACAGAGGCCACTCCATGGTGGTGAAATGCATGATTATGTGATGAACTCCATGCACACACACGCCGACACACTGAAAACCAATCGCGTTGTTTGCTAAGTGTTGCTCCTTCCCTTGATCCCATGCAGCCCAAGTGCTCAGGGTGCAGGTGCTCAACAATGGGGCACGCACTGGGGTAGAAAGCCACACCCTGAAAACACACACACACATATACACACACACACACACACATGCACACTGGGGCTGGATGGTCTCTCTTGAGCAGCGAGCACTTCTTGGCTACTCTTCCTTGAATGCAAAGCCCGACTCCTTCCTCTTTCCTGAAAGCCCCACTCCTGCCTCCCCAGGCTCTGGGCTACTTTCCCAGTTCTTGTAGCTGTTGGTGGGTGTGGGGAGCACATCCATGGTGGCCTATGAGGACTTCGGGCCAGACAGGGCAGCACTGAGGGCTCACTGCAGTCGTCACTCAGAGGCACAGAGGAAGAAACTTAAGGAAACTGGACAGTGGTCTTCCCACCTGTGGGCACTCTGTCTCCTCACGGAACTGCTCAACCGAGCCCTGCCAGGTCCCGTGGGATCATCACGGTGCCCCGTGAAGTCCTTTCAGCCTCTGTATCTGCCCCCGGAGCACTGTCCTGACTGTCTCGTTGCGGAAGGTGAGGATGAAGGGATTGAGGAAGGGGGTGAGGACTGAAGTCACCAAGGCTACGATCTTGTTGACTTCCACAGAGTGCACTTTGCCAGGCCTGACATACAGGAAGATGGTGCTGCTGTAGCCAATGAAGACCAGTGTGAGGTGAGACCCGCACGTGGAGAAAGCCTTCTGGAGGCCTCTGGCAGAGGGCATCCGCAGCACAGTGGTCACGATGTAACCGTAGGAGATGAGGGTCACCAGGAAGGAGCTGAGGACAAAGGCCAAGGCCATCACAAAGTCCCAGAATTCCAGCAGGCGGGTGTCAGCGCAGGACAGCTGCAGCAGAGGTGCATTGTCACAGAAGAAGTGGTTAATGACGTTGCCATGGCAATAACTGAGATGAGCTCGGGAGAGGACGGTGGGTACCATGGCTAGGAAGGGAGCTGCCCAGGCAGCCACAGCCAACCGGACACACACAGCCCAGCTCATCAAAGTGCCGTAGCGCAGTGGGTGGCAGATGGCCACAAAGCGGTCAAGGGCCACGTCTGCCAGGATGAGGAAGGAGGTGGAACCCAGGGAAAAGTAGAAGTAGAACTGGACCATGCAGCCAGTGAAGGAGATGACCTTGAGGGGGACCAGCAGGTCTGAGAGCATCCTGGGCACCGTAGTCATGGTCACCAAGATCTCCAGCAGGGAAAAATTGCCCAGGAAGAAGTACATGGGTATATGTAGGTGGGTGTCAGCTATGACCATGACGATGATGATGGTGTTTCCCATGAAGGAGAGGAGATGGAGCACGAGGAAAGGGCCATATAGGAGGACCTGCAGCTCACCGAAAGAGGAGAAGCCCACGAGGACAAATTCAGAGGGTCGGCTCAGATTTGCCATGATCTGGGGCAGGGTCCCTGCATGTAAGGGAGACCAGAGGCAGAGATACAGAGGCAGAGACAGAGAGATAAAGACAGAGAACCATTGACCATGAAGCAGGGATAGGCAGGGACTGAGCAGAGCACAGGGAGGCCAAGGCAAGCAGACGTCAGCACCAAACAGAAGGACAGAGGGAAAGAGCAATAAAGAGAGAACAAAACAAGGAGACGGAGAATCACAGAGAAACAGTCAGGGAGGCAGAGGCTGAAAGATGCGGTTAGCCACTGACAGGGACAGAGCAGGCCAGAGAGGAGCAGATTGAGACAGATCACACAGCACAGCGCTCAACATTAGGAAGAAAACAAGAAGGAAACAGGAGAGGAACAGGGAAGGGACAGAGGGGGAGAACCAGCAAGGGAGAGGGAGAAACAGGGAAGGAGAGGGAGTGGATTAGTGCCCGATAGATACCCAGACCCCCCATGTGTAGGCCAGCGCTGGGCATCTGCGTCCTGACCCACACGCTGTGCACCAAGACACCTTTTAAAGGGTCCCTGCAAATCTTTCTGGGCTGTCTCTCTGAGGACCCTCACTCCTTCACATTTCCTTAGCTATGATCATGAAATTAGCAGCAAGTCAGAGTTGTGAGTCAATAAATTAGCTTCCTTTAGAGCAGCCCTCTGCTTTGGGTTTGCAAACATTGAGAGCAGAAAGGGCACAGGAGGTCGGGGCAACAGGTCTGGGATCTCAGGCGGCAGCTGTGCCAGGCCCACGCGGTCACTAGTGGTCTACCTGAGGGCACTGCGCTCCCCTCTGCCCGCCGTGGCTGGGCGTGAGCGGTGGAGTGGCGTTGCCTGTGTTTGCATCTGGCTCATGCTTGTCACGGGCTACAGATCTGCTCCTCTCTGTCCCCTACTCTCTCTGAGTCGCAGTTTGCTCAGCTATAAGATGAAGATAATAATGATCATACTTCACCTCTAGAGGGATTGTAAAATTAAATCAATATGCTACTTAGTACAGTGGCTGGCACACCCCAGGTGCTCAACATATAGCTGTGTCACTATCATCATTCTCATTGTGGCGGCTGTCCATGAAACCCACATTTTCTTCGCCTGTCATCTCTCCACACTTTAGTGCCAACTTGTGTGTGTGTGTGTGTGTGTGTGTGTGTGTGTGTGTGTGTGCACGTGTGTGACCATCTCCACAGCATTACGCTGGTCCTTAGAAGTCTGGCTCACTAAAAGGTTAGTTTAACATATTTTAAACACAAAACAATGTAAGTATTACAACACCAACTATTAGGAGTGCAGAGACTGAAGCTCTGTATAGACATATGCTGACCCTTTCTCTGGCCCCATAAAAGCTTTACCTGAGGCTGTGTCCTCAGGTGAAGCAATGGCATTCCGATTTAGAGAAGCCTTGCACCCATGCCACTGACAAACCTTATTGGTAGGTCTAAAATCCATGCCAGCACTGACTGAATTCAAACCCAGTCATTATGTCTGTGTTGGACAACAACCTGGTAACACAAACTTAAGCCACTCACCTTAGCCTCCAAGCACAGGGTCTTCTCCTTAAGCTGCTCTCATTAGGTACGCATGCCCAGATACTTCTGCCTCTTGGATCCTCTCTGTGACATGAGTGACATCAGAGATGCAGTCCTTTGCCCTTGGGTGGTGTCTGCCTTTCAGCTGGCAGGGGTGGAGGGGAGCTTTGTGTGCCTGGCATGGATGAGTGAGCTAAAACATCACCAGTTCTCATGCTGATTTTCTAAGTCAAGCACTATCCAGTTTCACGACAAAGCCTGGGGAAGCAGCATCGATGTGGGGCTGCAAGATGGGAAGGAAGGCCTTTCTCTCCTGTCCTCTGATTCTTGATGATATTTGAAGCTGAGCCTATGCTGGGTGGGAAACTTAGACTCCAGCAAGCATTCTCTAAAGAGCCCTCTGGGGACTTCTGAGACACTGACATTACTCCCTGGGATAATGAGGCATCGTCTGTTTCAAGGAAGTAACATTTGAAAAAAAGATCTGAATGAAGAAAGGGATAGAGACCTAGGTACACCTAAGCAGACAGTGTCTTAGGATCAGTTCCTTGGCAGTATCTCCTGGTCCTTCCCTTCCTCTTAGGACCATGGAAGAAAAATGGGATCATGGAAAAAGCACAAAGGAATGTCCCCAGTGGGACTAACGTTATGGCAGGCTGGGTATGTGGCCAGGGCTGGATCCAGAGTCCCAGAGCTTCTATTTGGAGAAACATTTTGTCTCCCTCCCAGACCTAGGGTTTTGGGATCTAGGGAGGAGGGGAGTGGAGGTCCTGGACCCTCTTGTCTGAATTCTCCAGAGTGTCATCTAGCGAAGTTTAGGAATCAAAACAGTAAGCCCAAGAGATCTCTGCCTCACAGAGGCAGGGCCCCTGACAGACACATCTTGGGACCTGGCCAGATTAAAGGCCTTGTCTCTGACTCCTACAAGAAGATACAAGAGATGTACCTTGGGAACAAGGGTGAAGGGACTGTGGTAAGGCCCACTGCAAGGCATGAGCTCCCTAGTAAACTCTGAGTCACAGTTCTGCATCTCAGAGACATGCAAACCTTAGGGATAACACCCAATTCAACCTCACCCACACCCACAGACAGAAATAAGGACACAAAGATGTAAGCAAAAGCTTTCCAATAGGATAGTGCAAATGGGCCCCAAGTTTAAGAACAACCAGAGCTGGGGGATGGGGAGAGTTGGTTGGGTCATCTTTCTGTAGGACCTGAGCCTCAAACTGAGTTTTTAGGGCTGACCCATTGATAGCAAAGAGGAATTTAGGTCATGAAGGATTGGAATGGGGGATGGTGTGGAGAGGAGGGTGTCGCCAATGTGTCCAGGCAGATGGGTCCAAGCAGGGCTGGAGGCAGGATGCCTTGAGAATTAAAGGACAAGTGTAGCTGGACTGATGCGGGCCTTCACGACTATTGGTTTTCTATTGCTTCTGCAGCAATTGACCACAAATTTTGTGGCTTACACAACACAAATTTATTACCTGATGAATTCTAAAAGTCAGACATTTGACACAAGTGTCGTCAGGGCTGTCTCTCCCTCTGGAGTCTCTGTGTATTTTTCCAGCTTCCAGAGGCTACTCACACTCCCTGGCTCATGGATCCCTTGCTTCATCTTCACAGCCAGCAACGTTTCATTTCTCCCACCTTACTTCTGTCGTCACATCTTCCTTTGACTGAACTCAGAGGGAACGTTTTTTCACTTTTACAAATACCTGGGATTAGATTTGGCCCACTTGAGTCATCCAAGATGCTCCTCCCATGTCACGGTCCTTAGCTTCATCACATACGCAGAATCACTTTTGCCATGTAAAGCAACATGTTCAAAAGATCCAGGAATTAGGGTCTGAACACTGTTGGAGGCCATTTTTCTGTCTGTCATCATGACTGCGGTGCAGCTTGGAGCCTGCTGAACCGCCCATCCAGCCAGGTCCATTCGTCTATATTCAGTTGTGTTCATTCATCAATAAATATGTTGCATCAGTTCTGTTACATGATCACAACACGGAGCAGCCTCCGAAATCCAGGAGCGTAATCTGAATCCGTCCCCATTTCCTTTGAAACCAGGGGCATGTGGAACAGTGGTAATTCTTGTTTCCTCTCTGGCCTTCCCAAAGAGAAAGAGCTAGGACGGAAAGAGCTAGGGGAATTATTCTAGTGGCCCTTGGTGCTGTCTCCTGGGCCTCCCTGGCCTTGAAGAAACACCCACATCCTTTTTGTTAACTTCTTCTTATACTTGATGAGATTAATTGGAAGGAAATACAGTCATTCTCACTGTTGAGTTGATACAGTCTGAAGTACCCCGTGGGTATCTACCTCTGCCACCTTTTCACACAGTTTATTCTTTCCTTAATGGAAGTTTTCATTGTTAGCGCTTCTTTGATCCCTGTGATTCATTCCTAGACCAGTATCCTCTCAGCCTCTGGCTGAAAAATATTCTCCACTTGTGCCTCCCACTTCTCTTATGTTGTGATCGGCTGTGACGGCTGCTCGTTCCTCTCTGTGAAACCCAAGCAAATGGAGGCAGCCCAGTAAAACAAGATAGTTTCCCTGTTGATTTTTATACTGACCCCTTTTCTGATCCTTTTTGGAAGGTGAAAACCCTCTGGAATAACAAAGTCAAAGAAGCCTTTTGGGACGTTGCGAAATGCTGCTGTCAACCAGCTCCATCAGTTTCAGGTGGGATGTCCTTATCATGAATGCTGAGGTAGTCTGGAAAATACTAGCAAATATCCAAGCTAAAACATCTTGATTTTCATCACCAAATAGTATATAATCATCACACTCAGGCCCTTGGAAGTGGGCGAGACACAAAAATAAAACACACTGGCTTATCGGTTACTGATAATCTAAGCTAATTCTTGTTGTAGTTGTTTCGTAATGAAATTATTGTTGCATTTCTTAAAATCTACGGAAGAAAATGCTTGAAGCTGGGGAGGAGCTTGAGGAGGGAGATGCTTATGCTCGCTCAGGGGGATTTCAGTCACACCGTAACCATCTCCGAACCTGCATTTCCAGAAGAGGAAGGAAGACAGTCTAGGGAATGAAATAAAAGTGACACCACCTCTGCTCAGACCCTGCCCTTTTGTTTTCCGGGATCTCGTTTTGATTTGTATCATCAGGCTCCACCTCACAGTGCTGCGTCTGGCCACTCAATCAGCCACACACAATTCTCTGGTGAACTTTTCGTCCTTAGATATGCAATATCGAATCTTGGTTCTATTGTGACTACAAAGCATCTCTGTTTTTCTCTATATTTTGCCATAGAACCAACTTGGAGTGGCACGAGGGTGATATCTTTGGAAAGGGGTGGATGGAGAAGACGACCATGTTTGACAGCAGGGGTGGGAGTGTCTGATGAGATTTCAGGCAACTACTCGATTCACCTCCTCTTTTTGTCATTTGTGAAGGAAGAAGGAGGCAGGTGAGGATTGAATGACTGAGTGCGGGGACCTGAATGTCTTTTCTTTATGTGCTGCAGGAGTCCTCTGTCTTCGTGGTGTGCTCCGGCTCCCAAAGCTCCACACTGCTGCTCTGAGTCCTGATACCCTCTTGTTTTTCTGCCCCAATCTGCAACTGTCTGTCCACACCTCTGTAGACGCTCCTTGCTGGCGGAGTTGAGAGTGGGCGTTTCCTCCCCCAGGTCTGACTCACTCAAACATCAGGGATGGGTAGCTGCTTGTTCTTGCTCAGGAATATTTAACTGATGAATTTTTAGACAGATTGGAGGAAGACATGTTCTCACATGATAATACCTGCAGGCTGCAGGCTGGAGGCAGGCAGGAAATGGAGTTTTCCTGAGG